GTGCCCTTGGAGCTGGGGTGGATGGATGGGAGCCCACGGATCCCTACGGTGCCATTTGGGAGCCCGGGTCCCTGCAGTGCCCTTGGAGCTAGGGTGGATGGGTGGGAACCCAGAGGTCCCTGTGGTGCCATTTGGGAGCCTGTGGGTCCCTGTGGTGCCCTTGGAGCTGGGGCAGGTGGATGGGAGCCAGCGGGACCCTGTGGTGCCGTTTGGGAGCCCAGATCCCTGCGGTGCCATTTGGGAGCCCGGGACCCTGCGTGGTGCTCGGGGCCGCTCCCGTTGCCCTCGCGCGCCCAACTCGTGCCCGTCCTCACGGGCGCGCTCTGTCTCGGGCCGCAGCGGTGCACGAGAAAGCCTTCATCGTGTTCATCGCCTCGGCGCTGGGCCACATGCTGCTCACCTGCGTGCTGTGGCGCATGACCAAGAAGCACACAGTAAGTCCCGAGGTAACGGCCCCTTCGCTTTCTTATCCGCACCGCGGCTCCGGAACCAGCGCGCCGGAACTGGAGTGGCTCCCGCGAGCCGGCAGGCGCCGCGGGGCGCTCACGGGCACCAGAATCAGCCCAGTTTACTGGGGCAGAATGGGGCAGCGGGCAGGAAGTTTCGGTTTCGCTTTGAGTGTTGGAAATAGCGCCCGGTTCTGCTGGCCGCGGGTCACGGCGCCGATCCCGCTGGGGGCTGCATGTGGGGCTGGGGGCCTGGGTGCTGTGGGGCCACCGTGCCCAGCGCTCGGTGGTGGGTCCTGCCCCCCTCCATCCTCTGCAGCAGACGCTTTGGGGCTGCCTGGGGCTCTGGGACCAACCTGGCTAGGTGACTGGGACCAGGGACCACCAGCCCAGCTGGGTGACTGGTCACTGGGACCAGCCCGGCTGGGTGACTAGTACCAGGGACCACCAGCCCAGGCGGGTGACTGGTCACCGGGACCAGCCTGGCTGGGTGACTGGTCACTGGAACCACCAACCTGACTGGGTGAGTGGTCACCAGGACCACCAGCCTAGCTGGGTGACCAGCTGGTACCAGCCTGGCTGTGCTGCTGGTGCCAGCTCAACTGGGTTCCAGGTACCAACCGGGCTGGCTTAGCGGTTACTGGTGCCACCAGCCTGGCTGAGTTCCTGGTACCAGCTCATCTGAGTTCCTGGTAGCAGCCTGACTGGGTTACTGGTTCCTGGTACCAGCTCAACTGGGTTCCTGGTACCAGCTCARCTAGGTTACTGGTTCCTGGTCCTGGCCAGGCTGGGTTCCTGGTACCAACGCAGCTGGGTTATTGGTGCCAGCCAGGCTGGGTTACTGGTTCTTGGTACCAGCCCAGTTGGGTTTCTGGTGCCAGCTCAGCTGGGTTATTGGTGCCAGCCAGGCTTGGTTACTGGTTCTTGGTCCTGGCCAGGCAGGGTTACTGGTTATTGGTGCCAATGCAACTGGGTTTCAGGTTCCTGGTTGCAGCTGGGCTGGGTTCCTGGTACCAGCTCAGCTGGGTCATTGGTCCTGGCCAAGCTGGGCTCCAGGTTCCTCGTACCAGCTGAGCTGGGTTCCTGGGTCCTGGTCCTGGTCCTGGCTAGGCTGGGCTCCAGGTTCCTGGTTGCAGTTGGGCTGGGTTCTTGGT